TGGTGTCGGCGGCGGTGAGGTGACGGGAGGCGAGGGCGAGAGGGGCGACGTGTGCCGATGAGGGGGGCAGCGACAAGAGGGGCGGCAGTGTGCGAGGGGCTAACCTGTGCGAGGGGCTCGACGGTGGAGCCGGTGGCGAGCGAGGCCTGAAAGGTCAACAGCAGCGCGTGTGAAGGCGGCGGCGGCGGCGGCGAGGGCGGGGGGCGGGAGAGGCTCGCTCGTTACCGAAGATTGGGCGGCCGCTGCCGACGCACGCTTGAGACGCTCATGCCAGGCCTTGTACGCCTTGCGATAGAGCGTGTAGTCGCCCCCGAACTCGTCCCAATCACGTTGGGGCTCCGGGCCCAGGCGTTTCGTCGCGGGCATCGCTACTGCGGGCGGCGCGTTGTCCACGCGCCTGTCCACGAAATAGGCCGTTCGTTAGCGATACCGCTTTTATTCATGTTTCAGGGCTTTAGAGGTGAATCAAAGAATTCTCTTTCAACAATGCTGCTCGCTCACTTATTAGCACTGACCTGCCTCTCCAGCTGCGCCGCGTTCGCCTCGCCTCCCATCGCCCCACGCGCCGCGCACGTCCGCATCGCTCCGCCGCTGCTGCTCCTCGAAAAGGACGCCGTCGGCAGCGACACGGAAGCCGGCGGCGGCGACGGCGACAACCGTCTGCTGCTCGGCGCCGCTGCGAGCCTCGGACTGGCTACCGCGATACATTTGCCGGCGTTCGCACAATTCGCGTCGCAGTGGGCCTCCATTTCCGCCGCCGGCGTGAGCGGCGAGGACTTTTGGGCTCCGCTCCGCTTTTGGGCGTTTTTCGCGATCGGCCACCCGCTGATCAAGCCGGCGGTCTGGATCGGGGAGGTGCTGCACACGGCGCCGGGCCCGCTGGTGGGGCTGCTGCCGCTGGGCTTCGTCCTCGGCAACCTCGCCGTCCTCGCGCTCCTCGCCACCCAGCCCAAGGTGCGGCTCGCTGCGCCGGTGGTGAGCGCCGCGCTGCTGGTCAACTTTGTCGGCGGCGGCCTCGAGGGGTCCGTCTCGTCGTCGGACTACAACCTGGCCCTGGACGACGGCGTCAAGGGCTGCCCCGCGTACGAGCAGGTGCGGCAGCCTTCGATGGACGGCTTCGACATCACCAAGTAGCGTGGCCGGGCGGCAGCGCGCTCTCTCGCGACCCGTCTGCTCGAGACCTCTGCTCGGCCCTGCGCGTAGGTACGACGGGGCGTGGTACGAGCACGCGTTCCACGAC